TCCCAGTCCTCTAGCAGTGCTGGAGCAGCAGAGAGGAGCCAGAGTGCCAGGGATTAAGTCCTTGCTTCCTGACTCTTCCTAAATGAGGAAAGGGCTTGGCAGGACTGAGTACCACAGGTCAGTAGCACCCTGTAGAACAGGAGTTTCCTACTTTCCAGATAAGCCTGCTGCCTTTTGAACATCAGGGTAACCCCTTGGATAAGACTGCTGAGAAATCAGCCCTGGTTCCCGAAAAATCATCCAATTCTTATTACCAACTGCCCTTCCTGCAATTACTGCTTACCTTCATCTCCCGGGCGTTTTTGTCACGAGCCCTCTCCATTCTCCACAGCTCTGCCATGCACTTATCCAGGTTGGTGGCTCTTCGCTGGTACTCCAGCTCATACTGCTTCTGGCTCTCCTGCCAGGGAGAAAAGAGGCTCAGCCAGGAGCCAGAGACCTCACCACACTGTGAGGCAGCAAGGGTCCTGCTCTGACTCTGGTGGTTGGGCATCTGAGTCCACCTGCAATCAGGCTTCACCTGGATCTCTTATAAAATGCCTTTCTTCTAATTTTAAATGGCCCAAGAGTGCTGATGAACATCCAGATCTCAGGAGCAAGGACCCAGCTGCCCAGCCCTGGATCCCAAGGCCTCTGTCTTCCTCTGTGGCACTGCCCACCAGCATGGCCAGCTGGGCCACGGCAGCACAGGACCCACAGATTTGGGGAAGCTGGGAACTCTGCTTTTGGAATGCTGAGTCTCTCAGCCTCACTGAAGCATTTGGCAAGTCCCACTGCACAAAGAACAGCCACCTGCCCTCTTTTAGCTCTCCATCATCAGCAGAACAAGGGGAGTTTGCTCCATGATGGGAGAAGGTAAGACCCCTCTACCTCCTGCTGAGAAGAATCACAGAAACACCTTAAGTGTTGAAGCAAAATCCCCTGGGTGAGATAAACAAGGAGAGCTGAGGAGGAGAAGGGAGTTCATCACTTACACTGATAAACTGCACATCCATTTTGCTGTTCTTCTCCATGTGCTGCAGCAGGTCCACGTGGAAGGTCTGAGCCTGAAAGAGGTGAAAGAGCCTTATCCCTTATCCCTTCACTGTTGCACTGTGATAAGAGGTGGCTCATAAAACATGCAGAGCGAGTGACTGGCAGCCAGGCTCTGGGCATGCCAGCCCTGTAGCCTTCCTCTGCCACGTGCAGCAGGGAGGCAGGCACCGGCCTGCAGGAGTGTGCGAGAGCAGCTGATGGGGTGCGTGTGGTAAACGCTGATAAGCTGTATTTAAGGAAATCACTTTATTCTCCACCTCCACCAGCCCTTGGGAAAACCACTCACCACAACTTCCAAATCAGAGCTCAGTAGTCTCTGCGTGTCAGACATCTGCATCAGAATTTCACCTTCGGGGAAAAAGACAGGAGAAGGTGAAAAAGTCCTGTGGCCATTTTCTCCTGTGCCCAGGGAGGCAGACCAGCAGCGTGCAGCTCAGGCTGATGAGCTTTCACATGGCTGTGAAAGTCCAAGAGATATCACAAAGCACTGCTCTCTGCACCCTGGTATCCTGCCTTCCTTCCCAGGCACTGCCAGTGCAGGGCTCCCCCGGCCCATGTGATGGCTGGACCAGTGCTCTGCTACAGCCCCAGGTGTCGGAGGCACCTGGGTGCTGGCCTCTGGGTGCTGGGTCTCTGCTCTGCCACAGCCCCTCCAGGCCCGATTTCTGACCCAATGGCTCCCAGCTGTGCTGCACATTTCTGGCTGTCCTATGGAAGGCAGCTCCAGCACCCGCTCCGGTGCTGTGCATGGTCCCGCTTCACCAGTGCTGGCCTTGTGGAACCAGGAAAGGAAGAGACTGATGACAGGGAGCAGAGGAGCCAGCTGGGAGGTGCAGATGGCAAGAAGAGTCTGCAGAAGTGGCACATCTGCTGGAAGCTTTTTGCTAAAATGTTTAGCAGTGGACCAGTTCCCTGACCATGTTTTCAGCAGTCACCACCAGGCTGCAGAGTCATTTTCACTGCTGAGTGTGAGTCCCTCAGCCCCAAGCTGCCATTCCAGCCAGCTGCAGGCTCAGGAGGACAAAACCCCATCAGTTGCTGTCAGTGCATGCTCCCTGGCTTTTCCCTCACACCCTCAAGGAGGAGAAAAATGCATCCTCTGTGTTGAAAATTTCATCTCTGGGGGCAGAATGCCTCAACAGGGACTGGTTTCTGTGAGAGGTCCATCACTGAAGGTCCATCACAGGAGCTGAGCTCACTCACTGATCTCAGAGAGATACAGTGCTGGGACTGTGAGAAATATTCAAGGATGCACAATAAATTTGACTGTCACCACCTGGACAGGGCCTGGCACAGAGAGACACCATTTAGAGGAGCTATCTTTCTTGCCCCAGTACCTGGAAGTGGAGCAACTAAGGGAGAAGGTCAAAAAAGGTAACTGTGGCTCACCACAGGGGAGAAGAGGATGTGCAGGAGAGCCTTACCCAGCATGTGTGAGGTGGAACTCTGCAGTGCTTGCTCCCCAATCTTCTCAATGGCCTTAAAATACACTTCAGCTGCTTTGGATAGTGCTGTGGGGAGAGGAGAGGGGTGGTAAGGGTCCAGCCTGCCTTCCCACCACCACCAGCTCCAGCAAGCAGCACACAGAACTGCCACCTCGTGGTACTTGGCCTATAGGCACCCCATCTGTCCACATCAGCAGTGGGTCCTGGAGCTGAGGAGTGCTCAAGAGCAGCTCAGGACATGTCAGGGGTGGCAGAGCAGCAACCTTGTCCTGGGTGAGGGGATGGGGGTGCCCAGGTTGGACACAGCAGGGTGGTCTGGAGCCCTGGCTGTGTGGGACCCCACTCACCGTGGAAGGCACGCAGGTAGTTGTTGCCCAGGTACACCAGGTTCTCCAGCGCAGGGTTGAACTGCTCCAGGATGCTCTGTGGCCAGGCAGAAGCACATTAATGCCATTCTTCCTCGTGCCCAGAGACCTCAGCAGGTCAAGGCCCCTGTGCTGTGGTTTGGCTGGGTGAGAGCCCCCTCTGGAGCACTGGAACCGAGACAATGTACAGCCAGCTCCCTGCATCGGGGCTGGCGAGCAACTTCGGCCGCCCTTAGCCTTCCCACCCAGGCAGGAGAGGGGCCGTGCAGAGGGCAGGGTGGCCCACTGCACAGCCTAGGGGTTGCCTAAATGAAGATGGCTTCCTCCCAAGGGCCCACACCCACTGCAGGCAGGGGAGACACTGCAAGGGGATCTGAGAAGCCTTTTCCCTCACCCCACAGCCAGCCAGAGGGCCACTGCTTATTATCCAGGCATGAACACAACCCTTTCCTGGCCAGGATGTGGTGCACTGCCAGACTCAGCAGCTTAGTAAGAGAAGGGACGGACAACCAGCTTCTCTGCTTGTAGTTGCATTTATCTAAGGTGTCCATTGACTACAGAGAAGATGATGACCAGAATAAGCAATTCCCCACTTCTGTCAGCCCTCCCCCCTTGGTTCAGCACTGGCGTGTGTAGGGAAGCATTTATGAGACCAGAGACTCTTTGAAGGGAGGGGCAAAACGGCCGATCGAACTTCTTCCTGGCAGCAACCAAGGTGTGCCACCCTTCATGCTCCATGTCCAAACCACCCTGCCTGCCCTGTTCCTTCCTGAATCTGCCCTTAGGAACCACACCACCCTCTCCTCTGGCTCCCAAATACAGCCCAGAGCCCACAGGAGCTGCTGCAGTTCAGCCTGCGAATGGATTCAGCCCTCAGCTGTCCAGCCAAGGGAGCCTTTGGCAGAAAACACTCATCTTTGGCAGAAAGCACTCATCTCCCACCCACATGTCCCCCATACACAGTCAGGAGCAGCCTTTGATGCCAACACTTACCTTATAGATGGAGATGGTGGATCTGTAGGACAGATCCATCTCTGGAGCCTATTCACCCTCCCACGCAGAAGCAAGGAGAGTACAAGGTGCTATTCTGGCCTGAAGGACTCTGCTTCTGCTCAGCCAGCTGGATGGAAAGAGCCTGTCACCAGCAAGGAAGGACAGCAGGAAGACAGAGATGTGGTACAAAGGGAGCATTGATGGAGTTTAATAATTCACCAGCCGAGAGGCTGGAACTTGATCTCTGGAAGTAACCAGACTCTGGGGGGGAGAGAGGAATCCTGCGACAGCCAGCAAGGACATGTGACCGCCTCTTTGCATTATTGATTGCCAGCTGGGTACCTGGCTCTGCCTGTCCTGACACCTGCGGCGCCGGCCACCTGCCCGAGCCACCGCCTTACGGCTCGCTGTCCCCAGCACAGCCCCGGCTCCCAGCAGGCTCGCTCGGCCGCGCTGCGCTGGGCAACGAGGCGTCCCCAGGGCTCTCTCACACGGGCACCCCGCAAGCCAGGAGAGCCCTGGCAGCAAAGAGCAGCAGGCAGGGGGAACGCAAGGAAAGCTCTACACAAATTTCAGCTCTCCCTTGCCTGTATTCCCCCACCCCAGGCTTCAGCCCTCTGGCTCTTCACCTCCCTCTTCGCCTCCCTCCCACCCTCAGTGAAACTCTCTCACTCTCAGTGAAACTCTCTTAACAGCAGGAACAGGTTTCTGTCTGAACCCTTTCCCAGGTTTCACCTCTGGTGAGCTGGGACCAGCACTGCCATTGTGATTTCTTCTGGGCACGTGCCTGGGAAGAGATGAATCAAGCAAAACCTAGTGTTCTATTTTTTCAGGCCTGGACAGCTCCAAGAGGATCCTCATATTGCAGCTGGTCCAAAGCCTTTCCACGCTGGTTGCAGCTGCTGTGGGGTAACCAGCCACTGCTGGTTACCCCACATCCCTGCCATGTGCTCCCAGGGCTGGCTGCAGGGACAGCTCGTTCACCTCTATAGTCCAAACAAAGGGTAGAAATCCTGTGTCTCAGGGAGCCCTTTCTCTGATTTTCTACCTGTAAGAAAGTCAGAGTCTGCAAGCCTAGAACCCCTCTTGTAGGATGTAGAATCCCTCTTGTAGGAACTTGTAGGATGGAGAGAAAGACAAGACCACGATGGACCGAACGACATTGGAACCAAATGCAAATCCCCCTTTATTTTAGGACATGTCAGTTTCTCACAGAAACAGGCAGCAGCAGTCCATTCACTCAAAAGAAAATTCAGTTTTTCTGGTTACTCCTCAAAACACCTCCAAATTGATACATAAATTATTTATAAATATGCAAAAATTACTGCAGAAACAACAACTGGTGTAGCAATCACAGTAGAACTGCCAGTCATAATAGAAAAGTAAATCCAAATTGTCACAGGGTTGGCTTCTTTGGTGGGAACTGATGTCAGAGCATTTCAGTTTCACGTTAAGAATAAAGAGAAATGATATCTCTACAAAGCCAAGGCTCTTATCCCTTCCACTGAGCTTGCTGTAAAGACAGGCTTTCACATCTCAGCCCCTGAGCAAAGTGTAACACAGCAAATCAGTGGCACAACAGAGTCCTGGCAGGGGGAGGCTGCTCCCTCTCCAGGCACAGTGTTGCCAGCCCATCCCAGAGGGAAAAGGAGAAGCTGTTGCAGCAGACAGCTGTCTCAGGAAAGGCTTGCCCTTCTCCAAGGCCAGTTGTAACTTTCTGCGTTGTATCTACTGCAAAAAGTTGCAGCATTTCTGCTCTCCTTCAAACTGGGGGTGTTGAGAAAAAAATAATCCTTTTTCCCCATACTATACACTCTGAAATACCTTGGGCCCAGTAGGTCAAGCAATCCCTGAAGCTTTACCAGGCCTAGGCCCATTCTGTGACTTAGGAAGGTGCACGGTGCTTTGTCAGAGGAGGTACTGCACAGACAGGAGACATTCCAGCTGCTACAGCTCAAGATAAGTTGGTGAGGGCTCTGGATTCTGGGTCAGAGAGCAGGGCAGCAAAACCAAGCACAGCAGCAGAGATGGGGTTACAGCACAAAGATAACTGTCAGCGTTTCACAGCTATCATACACGTCATACATTCTGTGTCTGGGAAAACATGTGTATGTGCACTGTTGTCTATTCAATATTAATTCCTCTCGATTATTACACGTCTGTCCCCCACCTCGACACCTTGGCTCAAGGGCAAATCTGAGCGATTTCAGCGTCTGCTGCTCCTTGCCTTCAGCAGGTAGAGTGGGAGCCTGCAGGTCAGTCACGGGCAGAGATGCTGCACCAGCTGCTCCAGCTGCTCCCGCTGCTGGTAGATGTAGAGCTGGGTGTCCCAGAGGGCGTTCACCAGCACAGCGTCGTTCACCTCGTCCAGCATCACCTCCGTGTGCAGCTGCGGGCTGAGCCTGCGGGCAGAGAGCGCGTCACCAGCCGGGCACAGACACGCAGGGGACCCGGCACGAGCCTGCCCAGCAGGACATTCCCACCGAGCGGCTCCCACCGTGCCTCGCTGGTCCGCGGTCTGTCAGCTCGCAGAGCGGAGACCTTCCCCCTCCTTCAAGGCCCGGGCACACTCAGGGCTGAGCCACAGTGAAGCAGCTGCGGCACACGAGGGACGAGTCTAAAACGGGCTGTGCAGGGTGGAACGGGACAGGATGCACATCCCAAAGGGCCGCGCAAGACAACGCCTCCCAAAGCTCCCTTAAGCGGCCCAGACCAGGCGTGCTGTGGAGGGCCGGGGCACGCTCCGGCAGTCCCCGAGGCGTGCCCAGGGGCGGGCCTGGGCAGGCGTGCCTCTGCAGGGGATGCCATTTGGGATGACGCACGCCACAGCCAGGGCTGAAGCCAGAGGGATAAAAATAGGTGAGCGCAAGAGGGCGGAAAGGAAGCTCCTACCGGAAATAGGGGACATCCGTCATCTCGCACCAGGCCCTGGCACGATCCACGGCCGGGCCATCTGCGTCAGTGCACTGCAGGAGAAACAGGCCCGCAGTTACAGCCCGCCTGCTCTTCCCCTGCCTTCCACAGGCTTCCCTGGCACCAAGTCCAACTGCACAAGCCCCAGAGGGAAAATAAAAACCAGGAGCAAGGGCATCCTGGATGGCACTGCTCGCCACCAAGAGCTGGGTGGCTTTTCTTTTATTCTTGGACAGCACAGTGCTCCTGATCCTTGGGACTCACGAATTGCACCCTACAGACCCTTCATACATCACAGCACAGAGTGGATTGCCTCACAGAAACTCCCAGGATGATCTGAATGACAGCCTCCTTGGGATTTCGTCTGTATCCATTCTGTCCAAGCCCTGTACAGCAGAGCCTGTGATTACTTCAGGCCTACTGGGCTATCCTGGGACAGCTTCCCTGGGAGTCCTGAGATAAAAGATAGGAGAAGCAAAAGGACTCTGGGCATTTTCTCACTTCAGGAAGCTAAAAAGGAGATAAAGCAACAGCATTAAAATCATAGTCAGAACTTCAGTTCTGATCTTTCTGGCTTTCACCCATTTAGAGTGTTTTCATGAACAACACGTAATGATCATCTTCCTGAAGCACACAAGTGCATATGCCAACTACACACTCCTTATCACAGCTCTCAACTATTGTTTTTAATTAATGACTCTCTCACTTCTCCAGTATTTACTAATTTCCTCAGAGGGAAAAACAAAGCTTTTCTAAAGAAAAATGAATTGCTGTTTTCTGAGGCACGATTAATTTTTTTTCCCCCCAGGCTGCTCAGATGATAAACAATGCTTCCTGGAAAGATACCGAGTTTCACAAACTCACACCTGCAAACGTTCCTGAGAGTCACTGACCATCATCCTGTCCTTAGCTCCTTTCAGCTGCAAGAATACCCCCTGGGGATGAGTGTCCCTTTGGGGCACTCAAAACCCCAAAGAATCAAGACAGGTCTTCAGGCCTGCAGTGCTCCTGCAATTCTCAAGTTACCCACTACATCCATGGTCAGAGCACTTCCAAGGAAATAGAATTTACTTCTAAAAGGGGGAAGCTGGAAACCGGAAACCTTTTCTCCCTCCCTGCAAGCAACCCCAGGGGTCTTTTGCCATCCCCTCCTCCCAGTACTCACACAATCCACCACCATCTTGCCAAGCTCCCTGGCCCCAAAGACGGTCTTGGCCAATTCCCAAGGGTTTGAGGGGCGGAAAACATCCACAGAGCTCACTGGGACCTGCGGGGGCTTCCCCGTTCCCAGGGAGACCACCAACCCCAATTTTCTCACTTCCTGCTTCCGACCCTGAGGACAAACAAAAGATCTCTTTGCAATGACCAACAATGAAAGTGAAGCACGTCTTTCTAAGCAGCTTCCCAGGGAAGCTCTGAAAGCAAAAGGCTCAGCAGCCTTTTCTTCCCCCATCCTCCCCCTAAGTACGGCCTGGCGAGACAGCTGTAACCCACAGGACTTCAACAGTTGCACCGCTCTGTCCCTTTTTCCCTGACCACACCCAAACCCATGGGACCACCCTGGAGATGAGTCCTAGGAGCAGTCGACCGTGAAGCAGTCCAAGTCATCAGTCATTTTGGCAACACATCTCCCCTTTCAGCTACAGGGAGCAATAGCTGCCACTGGTTATTCAACTTTTTGAAGAACTTGCCACACTACAGAAGGCATTCACTCTTCAGCCTTGCAGAACTACCTTACCCTTGTCCTCTCCATTTATTCTTGGGCAGAAAAAGGCCCTGCAGAGCCATGTCAAGGGCCACATACAACCATCAACTCAATCCTTTTGGTTCAAAGAAGCAAGGAGAGGCTGATGAGACTGTCTTCCCCATTTCATATCCTTGTTAGAAGAGGTATCTCACCTCCCAGCCACTATTCCCAACACATATCCCACTCCATACACTCCCTTTTAGGGTGCTGCACTGCCAATTTGTTTATCCACTAAGATGCATCCACTCTCACACCCGCTTCTTCTTCAAGAGAGGCTCAGTGGGGCCAAAATGCTCCAGTTACCAGTCAAGGCTAGGATTTCCCTCACCTTTTTGATCAGTGTCTTGTTGTACTCGTGGATCTCTGCCATGGCATCGAGGGTGGGGTTGTTGGCCAGCAGCCCTCCATCCAGGAAGCGGCCAATGGGCCGGAAATAAGTGGGAGCTGCACCGCTGCAGCGGGCAGCGCGCCACACCAGCTGCTCTGCAAGGCACAGAGAGCAAAAGGTCTCCTACAGCAACTCTGCTGCTGTGCACAAAAAGCTCCCCACCTCCACCAACACAAATCAGGATGGCTTGCAGTCCCAGGAAACCTTGCCCTACGTGGTTGTGCCTCCTTCTACCAACAGCAGGGCTCCTGCTTGGATGCACAGGATGACTCTGCGGGGCTTTAAAAGACGTTCTCACCACTTCCTACATATCCTGGGTAAAAGTCACTATCCATTTTCTTGCTGCTATTTTGACAGTGAACCACTTATGTGTGCCAGACCAGGCTGCACGCTTCAGTTACGTGGCTTTTCCACATTTTCTGTGGGAGCCCAGGGAAAGATGCTGACTGTAGGCAGGACTCCTCTAGCAGACCCCTTTCCTCATGAACCTCACTAGCCAGGCCCTGCTCCCAGTACAAGAGAAGCCAAGGGAGGAGGAGAGAGGAGAAATGGGAACCATCACTAGGGATCTAGCTACAAGACAAGACCAGGGATGAGCCACTGCTGATTTTCAGGGAGAAAAGAGCATGAAATCTATCTCTGAGGGATGAAACCTCCCCAACCAAACAGGTGGATTGTGTTTACCATCATTTACCTTCTGGCTGAGTGAGTGGCTGGAAAGATGCACTTGTCTCGTATTCAGTGGAGCGTTTTGTTTCTGGTACAGGGTAATTCCGGAAAAGGTGGAGCTCAGCTGGCTGTCGGTCACACAGTGTCCCCGTCACCATAACCCTGGAGAAGCAAGACATGAGAGAGTAAGAGTAAAATGGAAAAAAAAAATCCTTATGGTTTCAACAGTCTGCACATCACACTCCTCCAGATCTGCTCTAAGGCTGAGCATCTCTGCTGACACAGGTCTAGAGCACGTGTGAGACAGCACCAACCAGCACAGCCCGAGGCAGGACTTACTTGGGTTTTCGGACATCTGTCATTTTGGTGTTTTCCCCAAATTCCTTCTTCAAGAACTCATCCAGGGGCTCCGACTTGTAGGGCCGAGAGCCCTGGAACACCATGTCCTTCATGCGGAAGTACAGGCAGCGCATGTAGTCCATGGACTTCCCTGAGATGGGCAACAGTGTTGGCAGGAGCAGGCAGTGGGAGGAAAGGCAGGCAGAACAAACAGCACATCAGAGCAAGGATTTCCCAGGACAAGTGGGAGATGGGAGGCATCACTCCCAATGCAATCCCCTTCCCAAGCTGTCTGTTCCCAAGCTTGGTTCTCAGCAGCATGATTCGGAAGGATTAGAGAGGAAGAGCAAGCACGGAGCAGCTTCCTGTTACCAGAATGTATCAATCACTTTGCTCTAAGGCCTCTGTGGAGAGCACAGGAAATACAGAACATTGCACTCTGCCACCATGCACTCCCCAAAATCCAGGAAACTGCTCAAAGCCAGCTGATGTGAGAAGCAAGCGCAAAGCCAGGTCGAGGCTTTCCTTCATTAAAGAACACCCCTTCAGAAAAGATCTGTCGGGACTCAGAGAGGCAGCTCCCACCACACATCTGCTCCCCCAGGGAGGAACACTCAGACCAGAGTGAGAAGGGATCCAGTATGTCCTCACCATGTACAATAGCCAAGGCCAAGATCCCTCCAGTGCTGGTCCCCGCAATCCAGTCAAAAATCTCACGAATGGGACGGCCTGCGGCCTTTTCAATAGCCAGGAGAAGCTGGATGAGCACAAGGCCACGGATACCCCCTCCATCCAAGCACAGGAGCCGGTCCTGACTGCAGAGAGACAGACACAGATGACTGGGAGCTGTGGGACAGACTATGAATCACAGAACACTCTATGGGAACATGGCCCTGGGGATGGGAAGCTATGCCAGCAAGAAGATTGCTGCAGACAGTGTAACTGGTGAATAAATAAATCCAGCAGTGCTTTCTCAGGTGCAAATAAGACATATCCAATAAGCCTTGCAAAGCTGGCGCAACATCCTTTGCTCTTGCATAGCCACCTCTAACCTTTACACTAGAAAGAGTCACCAGCCAAAAACACACCCAAGTCCCTTACTACACAGTAATGGGTATTGTGTCATAAATAAAAAAAGCAGACAGAGCAAAATGCTGCCAGGAGCACTTCAGTGCCAACTCCTCCTCCACTCCATACAAGGCGAGCTGCAGGCACTGCCAAGACAGTGCAGAGGAGCTGAGTGAACATCAGGGCAGTGTGTAGAGATGGGGAAATCACAAAGCCAAAACAGTGTTGGTGCCCAGTAGCACAGGGGAGGGACAAAGCAGGGTTTCACCTCCTGAGCTCAGGCTCCACTGCAGCTCCAGGCAGGGGTCATTTATGGAAACAAGAGATTTCACAAAACATACTGGAAAAACTGCAATGCTGATGGACATGAAATAATGTCAGCTCTGAGGATGCCATTCCCATGGGTGTGGGAGGGGAGAATTCACACACAGATTTCACCTTCAAACTGCACAGGAGCCTGGACAGAAGCTGTTCCTCACTTACTTTCTTCTAGCCTCACTGGGCATGTCCACAACATCTGGTGCCTTCAACAACTGTCCGAGTGTTGTGGAAATATAGAGAAGGTCCTCGTACCCTAGAGGGCCATGAACATGCAAATGGGAAAAAATAAATTAGAGATCACCAATGTGGTAACTGATTTCCACCATAAACAAAGAGAGAATCTCCAACTCCCTTCCCCATCGAATAAAGGTCCCTGCAGGAGACACAAGCCATCTTACCCACAGCCAACAGGTACCCCCCAAATTTAACTCCACACCAAAGGACAGCAACACCACCCTTTAGAGCAGGCAGCTGTAGATGTACTGGAAAAGACAGGGTTTGGAGAAGCAGATGATGTGCACAGTGGATGAGAGAAGGCAGAGCCCAGCAGCATGCCCACTACGCAGTTTACTGCAAGCTGTTAAGATAAAACCTAAATCTACACCTCAAAGTAACCTAGGCAGGAGAGCCGTGGGGACAGGGTGGCTTGTCATTACCCCTCAGCTGACGTTCACCCAGGCCAGCCTGGGTGCAGGGCACCAATCCAAGCTAGGTGAGAAGCCAGCCTGTGAAACCAAAAGAAGAAAGAACGGGGGAGAGAAGTTACATACTCCTGCCAGCAGCCAGGCCAGAAGGTGGCTGTGGACGACAATAAATTGCGGTGAGGAGTTTCTTCAAGGGCAGAGTCCACGATAAAAAAGGGTTTTGCTCTGTCACTGCATCAGAGCTGGAACTGGGTACGGGTTGCTTTCACTGGGCTGTGGTGAGAAGAAAGTCCTGGTGTCAACAGCCACTGAGATTTGCAGTGACACAGACACATTCCAGGATTGTCCTCTGGTGTTGTGATAAGGCACGAAATGATGACACAGACACTGCTGCTCTCGAGGGGAACAAAAAAGAAAAACTTTATTTTCTGACTCCAACATTTATAGTTTTCTAAAGGTGACAGTGGATTGGAGGGTGACAGTGCCACCTCTCCAATGCCACTGGACAGACCAAGGGTCCATCAATTCTCTCCACCTCCATGAAAGAATGCAAAACATAGGTTATTTACAGAACTGTGTGTGAGAAAGTTTGTTGAAAGAATGTAAACATCAGAAGGCTTAACAAAGTCTTACAAAATCAGGGCGACACTCTGGCCTCACAGGAGAGCCTTTGCAAAGAAAACCTCCAACCTGAGATGGGAAGTGGTCCACAAGCAGATGTTAGCCACTTGCATGCTCTTCTCATGACCCTCCAAGTCAACTCCTCTGCTGCCTAGTCTACAACACCTCTTGTTGCCTCCTCCTGAGCTCTGGAGCTCCCTGAAGGCAGAAAGCCCACCACATAGAATAGACCTATGTGCTTATTCTGGGCAGCACAGACCACAAGATTCAATACAATCGTACGTCCCACACCACGCTTTTCCTATGCATAACAAACCCCATGATCAGGTTGTTTATCCTCAGGCTTCCCTCTTTCCCTCTCCCAGCTGCTGGCCTCCAGGAATAAGTGACACTTCTAAATCCTCTTGTGCCCAGCACAGCACTGGGAGGTCCTCAAGGCAGACCAGCAAGCACCTTCCCTTCCCTGACCCAGCGGACAAACCCTGCAGGCTAAATGCCCCCTCTTCCAGACATGTGAGGGAATCAGCCTTTTTTTTTACAGAGCTACATCGTGTCAGGTGTATAAAACAAATGTTTTGAGTACAAGAGTTCAGAATACACACAGAGGAAAAGCAGAGAAAAGAGATAGGATCCTGCAACAGGTCAATGAGGACAGTCACCACAGAGTCACCAGGCAGTGAGAGCTTTGACAGTTCCCAGCGCACAGCCCATCTGAAGAAGAGGTCTGAGACAGCACTGTGAAGCAAGAAGGGAGAAGAGCGAGGCAGGGCCAGGGAAGGCTTTACCTAAGCTGTTGAGGTTGCTCCGCGAGGAAGGTTGGCCTTCCAGGAAGGAGGCAGCAGATGGTGCCAGGCTTGGGGAGTCAGGGTTGGGTGGTGGGTGGCAGCGCTCGGTCCCTACAGTTTGCAGCAGGTCTAAGAGCACTTTCCGGTTCGCACCTTAGGTGACGGAGGGGGAGTTACAGATCAGAAACAGAATCAGTGCACGTGCACACCACGGGGGAACGTGCTCTACCAAATTCACTGCAGGCCTGACCCTCACAAAGCCTCTGGGATGACCTGGGGAAAGGCAAAACACGTCCCAGGTATCTCTCCCCAAATGCAAGGCAGCAGGACTTGTGCACAGCAGGAGTATCCACTGCTGTACAGCTTCAAGGGTGTGTGCCACACACTTCTTTGGCCCTGAAAACCTGCCCATGTCTGCCTGTGCCCGGGCAGTTCAGCAGTGCTACGCCATCCCGTTGTGAGCCTGCAGTGCCTGACATGGTGGCCTGAAAGGGGGGAGTGCGTGCCAGCTTTTCCTCTTGCATCTCTGTGCCACAGAAGAGAAATTCATCAAGGGCTATTAATACAAAGCCTGTGCTGCTAGCAAAGTAGGTGCTTACTATGTGAGCAACTAGAAGCTGGGAAAGCATGTTGGAGAAGCATCACCCACACATGGCGTGTTTTCACCTCTCCCCAAGACACTGTTTTGGCCACCAAGGGGAGACAGGATGCTGGGCTCACCCTGTAAGGCTGCTGACATGCTCCCTCACCTTTGCTGCTCCTGGCTGCCAACAATCCTGGTGTCTCCCCAAAATCATTGGGGATCTCAACATCTCCTCCGAAGACGATGATTGCTTTGATCATATCCAGGTGGTCATGCTAGGGAATAAGAGAAATCTCGGTCAAGAGCCGCTAGATGATTTCTCATCCCTTCCCTTCCCTTTTCGTTAGCCAAAGCACCCACAAGGGAACACCACACCAAACAGCCAGAATTTCAAAGGACTCTGTCGCTGTCTCAACCCTTCCAGGAAATCCTCTCTCCTTCCCAGCAGCCTCTGCAGGAGCTCACCTTCATGGCCAGGTGCAGCGGTGTGTTGCCGTCGCGCCCGCGGGCGTTGGTGTGGGCGCCGTGCGTCAGCAGCGCCATGGCGCAGTCCAGGCGGCCCCTCTGCACCGCGATGTGCAGAGCCATGTCGGCCGTGCGGCTGCTCGCGTTCACCTCGGAGCCGTACTCCAGCAGCAGCCGCGTCATCTGCGCCAGCGCGGCCCCACGGCACGGGGAGATAGAGCAAGGAGAGAGAGGAGAGCGAGGATAACCGGCTGGGCACTCAAACCATCTCATGGCAAAGCAAGCAGGGGAACAGGAGGCTGCCTCAGCCTGGATACAGTTGGCTGGCAGATGCCAGCTGAATTGTTCCAAGCGCTGGGGTTTTTCTGTCTTTTACCACAGAACTAGTTGGTGGCTGCACAATCTGGCTGGAGCTTCTGGATCCTTTGGGACTGATACACAACTATAATGAATGGCTGAGATCAATGGAAAAAAAATCAGTTCCTACTCAGGCCAGGATCCTTGCAGACTGAAAGGAAAAATTTTGCCTTCTGAGCTTCTCTTTGTAAGCCAAGCTAATTCAAGTCTGCTCTGAAACTCCACAGGACACTTGTGAGAGGAACGGGATATTGCAGGAGGGAAAGAGCCTCCTATAGCAATGCCCTCTGCCTGCAACAAGCATCATTCAGGTGCTCCAGCGTGGCATATCACCATCCTGCCCAGCTCTGGCAGGAGATGGACTTTCCTCCACGCACCACCACTCTGTGCCTACCTCACACTTCCCCTGCAGTTTCTAAGGCATGGATCTGTTTGCTCCCAGGAAACTGGCAGGTAATGAGAAGAGAGCTCCCTCCAGGGGCAATTATGCTTCAGGGACAGTGCTGCAATTTCTTCAACAAAAGGGAAAAGGGACAAGTTGGCAGCTTCACAGACACGGATGAAATACTAGGGATGAGCCCATCAGTTTATTTCACTGCAAGGTTCCACTGCCCTATTCTCTGTGGCAAACAGCAACAACGGGCACAATGCAAAAAAAATCAAACACTGGGCTGCTGGCTGGGCTCTGACGCTCCCAGGGCTCTGCACATGCACTCGGACAAGTTAGCCACAGAAGGAATTAACTGGGTGCTGGGGAACAGCACAGGCTCTCCCCATGGAATTTGGCTCTATTTACCTCTGCCTTCTTTGCCCAGTGCAGTGGAGTGGCATCATAGCGCGGGTCCTTGGAGCAAACCTGGCTGGCATCTGCCTCGAGAATGGCCTGGGCACACCTGGGAAACACAGTGAGATGACAGGATGGGTGGCTGCTGTCTTGACTCAAGACCTCCACTCACATCACCACCTGCCTTCTGCCCAGAGGAAAACCAGGAAACCCTGCAGCAGCATCTCTGCAACAGCTGTGAGCTCCTCAGCTGCACTTTTGTTTTGCTCTTCACAGAAAGTGTGGGCACAACAGGAAGCATACAAGCCAAGTGGTGTTGGGAGCAGGAGAATCTCTCCAATTACAAGTTGTGGAGCAACATCTGGGTGCTTCTCTAATTGAGGAATATGGCATTTCTGGAAACTGTCCAAACCCGAGAAGCAAAATTCTTCTGCTCTCTTTCCATGGAAACAAGGGGATAGAACTGTAATAAATACTTGCTGAAATTAAGAATCTGTGTACTTCCCTATGAGTGAAAACCCACACCTGTTGTGAAGAGACCAATATCTGGTGCCTAGAAAACAGGGTAGGTAGACTTATGAAATTTGGTTATCTTTTCCACCACTATCAAAAAAACCCTGTACAAGAGATGGAGCCCCAGTGCAACCCTGCTGATGACTCCTCTCCGCGTGTGGAGACACGAGGCTTGACTCCATTTCAGAAGGCTGATTTATTATGTTAAATATTATATTAAAATACTACATTAAAACTATACTAAAGAACAAAGAGATCAGAAGGCTACAACAAGAACAGAACAGAATAGAATAACAAAAATCTTGTGACTCCTCACAGCCTTGGCACAGGTGGCTGTGATTGATCATCAATAGAAAACAATCCACACGGACCAATCATGGATGCACCTGTTGCATTCCACAGCAGCAGATAGTAATTGTTTACATTTCTCTCCTGAGGCTCTTCAGCTTCTCAGGAGAGGAAAAATCCCAGCAAAGAATTTTCATAATATCATAGCTACACAACCTCAGCGACCCACGCCCATTCTGGGCTTGTGAATGTGTGTCTAATGCTGGGAAGTACTTTTCAAAATGCTTAAAAATCAGCTACCAGCAGCTAGTGCTGCTTTGAAAGCCCTGTTTGGAAAGCTTGGACTCTCTTTGAATATTAAGTATTAAAAAGCATATACAAATGGAATTGAATTTCTCCGAAGAAAATAAGGAATAAATATTGTGCTTCTTTTGATTCCATTCCAGAGTCTGTTATTAAGAGTCAAGAGTATCTCTGGCCTACAGGAGACAGGAAAAACTAAGCTTTGAAATGAAAGCTTATTAGGATCAGAGCACTCAGAGGTACAGCAATTAAGCATCAGCCAATCATCTTCCTACAGCTCCTTCTGAGAAAAAGCATTTCACAAACATGTATTTTTTAATCTTTCTCCTGATGTCTGACACTGAATAAAGTATTAATTCCAGGACAAAAAGGTTTTATTCTGAAAGCATTTCTTTCTTTCCCACACCAGCACTTCCCTGTTTTTTTTACCAATGACTACACACGAGACCTGTCCTACTGAGCACAGCCCCGGCCAACGCTGAGCAAGTTCACAAGTCCCCAGGCTGCAGGGGACACTACCTACCCCTTCTGGGAGAACTTCAGTGCCGTGTGGATGGGGTAGCCCAGCGTGCCCACGACGCAGCAGCTGGCACGGCACTTCAGCAGGGAGCGAACCATGTCCTCCTTGCCCAGCTGGCACGCAAGGTGCAGAGCTGTCAGCCCTTCATGGCTCAGGTGGTCCAAGCCAGTAGTTGCGGCTCTGCCCAGGAGCTGGAAGGAGAAGACAGTAAATAAATAAATAGACAGACAAACGTGGAAGAGCACCATCTCTTCTTGAGCTCTGAGGACAAACTCTGGAGTGCTGGACCCCTCACAATGCTACAGCTGGTCCTCTCCATCCCTGCTCCCTGTAAATTGTACATCTGTTATGTGCTGACTGGTTTGTTGCAGAAAAGTATGCCACTGTCACACTGAGGAAACCCTGCAAGCCCTGGTGCACACGTGCGAAGTGAGAATACCATTTCTTTGATTTAGCAAGTCATCAATAGAGAAAACAAGCAACATGAGACAGATCAAACAAGCCAAGTTGATGCCACCAGAGAAATAAAGAAGAGGATATCTTTTTAATACAAGGTTCCTAACTGCCCACTCCACAGCATGGCAAGCCCTGATCCTCATCCTATCTCATCATGCATTAGGAAACTCCAACACGGACGGGTAGGCAGACAGAGAGCTGTCACAACAGGTATTGGGCAAACACGGGGCTTGCAGCCATGGGGAAGAGTCAGTCTCAGGCTCACACCAAGTTTTGGGGAGCTGATTGACCTCAGGAACCACGTGTAAGGCCACCCACGCCTTACAAACCCTGTCACTCTGCCCAGCACTTCTCAGCAATCAAGAACACCTACAACTTCAGACTGCCTCTGCCTCGAGGCTCTGATCACTGTCCCCCGTGCAAGGCCACTCAGTTCAATCAGCAGGTCCTGCAGCTCAGGAGAGCCCAGGGCAGCTCCAAACTGCCCTTCAGTCTGCGGGCAGCACACGATCCCCCATGGCAGTATCGGCACACGCTTCCCTACAGGACTCTGCCCAAAAACAAACACCCTGCTCACAGGAGAGAGGAAACAGCCACAGGCCTGAGGAACAGCAGGATGAAGGCCTGATGCAAATAGCAGTGAAGGATTACTTTCTGAGGAAACTTGCTTAACGTCCTTGTTTGAGTGCTGGGTGGAATCTGCACTCTGAATATGGGAAACAGCACCACTAAAGGGAATAGAAGAGGCTGAAACCAGGCTCAAGCAATAACCCAACAGAGGGAAATGACTTTCTCTTCCCCTGTCTGCAGCTGTTTCCCCCTCTCTACCACAGCAAAGAGAAGACCCATTCTAGTCCCACTTTCTCTAGACCAGAAGCCGCTCCCACCTCAATGATCTGGGGGTTGTTTCCCCGCACAGCGTAGTGGAAAGCAGTCTCCCCGTTGCTGTCGGTGATGTCCACGAGCGCGTGGCACTCCAGCAGCTCCAGCAGGCACTCCACGTCCCCCTTGCGGCACGCCAGGTGCAGCGGGGTGCAGCCATCCTCGCTGGCCGTGCTGTTCACACAGCTGCAAGACAGGACTCGGCGTCACACCCGGGAATGGCCACGGCACGAGGAGGGCTTCAGCTGCTCCAGGAGTGACACAGAGGTACCCTCCACATCTGTCCCACCTGGTGCGAACCATGAGGCTCGGGAAAGCCCAGCCTCTTGCCAGGGAAGAAGCACAGGGAAGGGACATCAAGCAGCCCTGTCCTGGACTCTCTCCCTGACACGCTGCTCCTTTTCTTGCCTCCACATGGGATCAGCTCCCTCTGCCCAAAGGAAGGCAGGAGACAGGTTACAGTCAGCAGCCTGGGTGCTGCTATTTGCCCTCCAGTCCCCTAACTCCTCACCAGTCTGCCCAATCCTCAGTAAACTTGTGCTGGTTTTGGCTCAGGCACAGTTACCTTTCTTCACAGTTGCTGGTGTGGGCTGTGTTTTGGATTTGTGCTGGACACAAAGCTGACGATACAGAGATGGTTTTGTTATTGCTAAGCAGGGTTTACACAGAACCAAGGTCTTTTCTGCTTTTTATTCTGATCCACTGGTAAGGAAACTGGAGGTGCAGGGGGGGCTGGGAGGAAACACAGCTGGGACTGGTGATCCCAACTGGCCAAAGGGATTTTCCAGACCATATGACACCATGCTTAGTATATAAAGTGTGGGAAGAAGGAGGAAGGGGTGGGACATTTCGAGTGATGGTGTTTGTCTTTTGAAGTCACCACGATGTGTGATGGGGCCCTGGAGGTGGCTGAACACCTGCTTGCCCATGGGAAGCAGTGATTTAATTCCTTGTTTTACTTTGCTTGTGTACATAGCTTTTGCTTTCCCTTTCTTTATCTCAACCCAGGTTTTGTATCTTCTACCCTTTCAGTTCTCTCCCCACTCCCTCTGATGGGGGAATGAGGAATGGCTGCATGGGCTTGGCTGCTGGCTGGGGTTAAATCACAGCAACACTTTCCCCTTAAAAAACAAGTCCTTGTGGCCAAAACTTCTTTCCAGACAGTCCTACCATACCTCCACTCTCAGTGCTCACAGAGTGAGCAAAAACCTCCAAAATCTGCTCCATAAGAGTTGCAATAGCCTAACCAGTGTCTCTAGCAGGACGCCTCAATCCTTCACTTCAAACACCAGGGCTGCAGGCTCTGCAGCAGCAGGCTGAAACCCACCAAGCAGCTTCCACACCAAAGCAGCGATACTCCAATACAGCCCAGCCTGCCCTCCCAAGCTCCTTGAGAGCACAGACCCCCTCGAGACAGCCTTGCCTCAGGATGCGGTTGTGCCGGAAGCTCTCCCGGCGGCCGAACTCCACGGCCAGGTGTGCCGGGGACCAGCCGGGGTAGCTGCGGATGCAGTCGCTGAGCTGCTGCAGCTCCTCCAGGGACAAGGGCTGGCACGAGCTCTCGTAGAAAGGGCGCAGCTGCCGGGCATATTGCTCAAAGTACTCCAGGGCGTCTGCTTCGTTGTCCAGCTGGAAGAGCCTGGAGAAAAGGCAAGCACAGGGTTCATCCTGCTCAAAGGGATAACCCCAATCCCGTGTATCTGAGGGAAACAGCTCTTTTCCAAACGGCAGCGCTGGGAGTTTTCCTTTTCTTCTTCGTCTAGTGTCATCCTTGTTCCAAGGGAAGCAGGGAGACTACTTCACTGGGAGAGAGCATCCCTCTTCCTGAACAATGTCAGGTTTTGCTCAGAAGCATCCTCTGGATGCTGAACCACCAAAAGGAACGAGCAGAAACGCATGTGGACCTAGAGATGCCCTGTATCATCTGAACTGCCTGCAGCGGCGATGTTCGGGTCTCGTCCTGATTCCACGAGCTGTTTTGCGGCAACTCCTCCACCGCACACGCACGGGCCTTCCACCCCTCCCAGCCCGCCTGCTTCAGCACAGCGCCCCACACGCACGGCCTCGAAGCAGCCCCGCCATCAGCAGTTCGGGGTCTCTGGTCTCCCACCTCAGCAGGGACGGCTACAGGTCTGTCACTCACCGGAACGCCACCTGCGGGCTCTGCGGATTCACCAGCAAGCAGTCCCAGGAGCGAGACAGGCCGTTCTTGTAGAGGGCCACCCGGCCCTCCTCCTGCAGGCAGCTGTGCCCGGCGTACTCGGCGGCCGGCACCTCCCTCACGCGGTACGGGTTCGCGAATATCTGCGAGACGCTGCTGAACGTGTCCAGCAGCCGCCCAAAAAACTGCATCTTCCCAGAGCCTCAGGGGCGTCTCCCGAGGGAAAGGCGGCCGCTGGCTCCGCCGACCCGGAGCGCCGCGGGGTGACACGGGGGCCGGGAATGGGACGGCCGGGATCCGGGGATGGCGCCGGGCAAAGCACCACGGGCCCCCAGCGCCCCCTGCGCGCGGCCCGCCAGCCCCGGCACCGCCCCCGGCACGGGCCAATCAGCGGCGCCGCTTCCGGGGCGGGGCCACAGGGCGGGATTAAAGCCGCACCCGTCGCCTGCCGGGGAGGAGGGCGGAAGGCGCCATCTTTGCGAGGGGCGGGGCGGCGGGTGGGGCCGCCCTTCTTAAAGCGGTAGCGACCCATTTCGGTGGGGCGTTCTGCTCCCGCGGCAGGGCCGGGCACCGGTCGTGCGCCACCCCTGAACCCGAGTTGCAGCCGGCGCTGTTGGAGCGCGGCCGCGTTCACAGCGCGGTGTGCGGTGTGCGCCGGCAGCGCTCGGAGCGGGCTGGCACCGCGGGACGCTTTAAGGGCAGCGGGCGCTTTAAGGGCAGCGGCCGCCCCGCGCGGCTCGGCGGCGAGGGGGCGTGGCGAGGGTGACGTCACCGCATGACTGTGTTTTTATGAATGAAAAGAATCCGCGGGTGAGTAATCGCGGGGAGCGAGCTTGGAGGCGCCGCCCGACGCCCCGAGCCGGCAGCGGCCCCGCGGGACCAGCGCAGCCGCCAGGTGAGCGCCGGGCAGCGGCCCCTCCGCTCCCGCCTCGGCCTCGGCCCCGCGGGGCGGCCGGGAGAAGGGGGCGGCGGGGTCCGGCACCGGCTGGAGGCCTCCTGCCGCCGCCGAAGGCGGGGATCCGGACCGGGACTGGGACTGGGACTAGGGTTGGGGGGAACGGGACGAGGGGGGCGGCCGGCCAGCCACGCTCGGGGCCGTCGGTTCTTCCTTTCCAATTCCCGGCCACCGCCCTGGAGGGATCCACCGCCGCTCCTTCGGCTCCGGCGGCGGATCCCCGGCCCGGATTGCATCAGCTTCCAGCCGGCCCGGCTCCACCTTTCCCGCCGCCCCCCTCCAGCCCCTCATTCCTCTCGGGGCGCTCTCGGCCCCGTCCCGGCCCCCCTCGTCCCTCCGAGGGCTCTCCTAACGAGACCGGCGTTCCCCGAGGTGCGGAGAGGCTGCCGGGCTGCAGTCCGGCGTCCCGGACCCCTCCGAAGCCCGGCCCGGGGAGGGACCGGCCGTGGCGAGGGGCAGGCACCGCTTCCGTGACTTTCACCCCTGCGGTGCTGAATCACGGGGCGGCCACTTCACCCGCCTGCGCTTCGTGACCGCGACCCTTCGCCCGCCCCCGCAGCCCGGGGACACCCGAGCCCTGCGCCGGGACCCGCGGTGCTCTTGCCGGGGGGGGGGGCGGCACCTCCCCGCGGGTCCCGGCTCGGTGACTCCGCCACGGTGTCACTCGCTGGGGCTGCTGCTTTTACTTTCCCTCCAGCCCCGGGCGGATCTCGCCTGTGTTTCCTCCCCGCGGCGAAGGCTTGGCATCCCAGCCGGCGGCTGGGGCATTTTGGGTCCCCTGGGCAGAGCAGCATCCCAACCCTCTCGTGATGGGATGAAGGAGGGTGGGAGGTCCATCCTTGCCCCATTATTATTATTATTGCTTGCAGTCGTCATTGCTATTAATATTATTACTATGTACTTTTCAAAAGGAGTGGGATGAGTCATGCGGCCCGGGGTGGGGGGGATGTGGGCAGCGGGCAGGTGACCAGCAGAGCCGGTGTCCTCTCTGCTGAGGTGGGGAACACGGGGCTGGCAGTAACCAACTTTTCTCCTGGCTGCTCAGCAGGGCCGGAGTGAGGAAAGGATGGCTGCAGACGGGCTCTCCAGCAAGGCTTTGAAGGTGAGCACCAGTGGGAACAGGGGTTTGGGAGTCAGCGGGCTGGTTTCGGGGGTCTCAGGCAAGCACCCCTCTCTCCGACAGGTGAAGCGGGAGCTGGGGGAGAACACTCCACTGCTGTCGGATGAGGAGCTGATGGGGCTGTCAGTGCGGGAACTCAACCACCACCTGCGGGGCCTCTCCAAGGAGGAGGTGGCGAGGCTGAAGCAGCGTCGCCGGACGCTGAAGAACCGCGGTTACGCTGCCAGCTGCCGAGTGAAGCGCGTCTGCCAGAAGGAAGAGCTGCAGAAGCAGAAGATGGAGCTGGAGTGGGAGGTGGACAAGCTGGCCCGGGAGAACGCTGCCATGCGCCTGGAGCTCGACACCCTCCGTGGCAAGTACGAGGCCCTGCAGGGCTTCGCCCGCACCGTGGCCACTCACGGGCCCCCCGCCAAGGTGGCTACGGCCAGCGTCATCACCATCGTCAAGTCCGGCACCAACCAGGCCGCCTACTCCTAGTGCTGGCCTCCGTCCCCCGGCTGGACGCAGTCCGCCCCGGGGTGCCTTCCCCGTGAATTGCCTCCCAGCCCTTCCCCAACCTCCTCCCTGTCAGGACCTGTGCCCAAAATCCTCTTTCTCCCATTCCTTGACCTCCAGCTCCCCCAGGTAGGGAGGGCTGCTGCTATGTGGGTGCTTGGATGGAGAACAGGGCCTCACTGGTGGCCCCCATAGCCCCCTCCCCTCTTGGGTGTGCAGACAGGAGAGAGCGAACCCACACAGTGGGGAAGCATCCCACAGCTCCAAGCTGGTAGGAAAATGCCAGGTGCCTCTTTTTTGTGAGAGGGCATGGGAGAGCTATATGTGGGCCAGGCAGTCCGAGGAGCATGTGCCAGAGAGGGAAAAAAGGAGAGAGAGGTTTTGCAGTGTAGGGGAAGAAGGCATGCGAGAAGGGTATCGGCATTGGGCAGACAACCAGGACCACAGCTGGGAGGAGGTGGCAGCATGTCTGAAATCCCTGGGGATGCAGATGGCAAGGGAAGGTGAGCAGGTCAGAGGGGGAGATAAAGTGGCTGCGTGTTAGTGCCTGGTAAGGGTGAATGCAATGGGAAAGCACTGTGGCAGCTTGTGGTGCTGGGGAACCCCAGAGGTGACAGTGATTGGGCAGGGGGGAGCTGGGAGATGTGAGTGGGTCAGCCCAGGCTGTTGTCCACTAAGGGGAGAAGCAGTGGTTCTGTTTGATCTTTCTCTATCGTGCACATCCTTCACGCCTCTTCCTGCTGACGGGACACTCAGCCTGGCCGGGTGTCTGAAGTGCAGCAGCACCGGCAGGAAGGAAGCAGAGGCAGCTGGAGCAGAGATAAACACTGTTTTGCTCAGCACAGGCCAGCTTGTATGGCCCCCCAAGCCCTCCCTGGTGCCCCACCACCTACAAAGCCCATGGAAAGGTGCTCCTGGCCCTCAGAGTCAGAGATGTGGAGGCAGAGAGAGGGGTGGAGGTGCAGGAGGTGGGAAGTAGGGGTGGAGAGCATCCCTGCTCCTTGGAGCTGCCTGGCAGGCAGATAGGCTCCTCCCTTTGGTTTTCCTCCAGCTTGGACACCGGTGTGGGACAACCGGCTCTTGAGCAGGCTGAAAGGCTGGAGAAGAGCTGGGTTGGCTAAATGCAGGCAGCACAGGGGAGGGAGCAGGAGGCAGGTCCATCTCGGGATCTGCTGCTGCAGATGATTCCCCCACCCCTCCGTTCTGCCCCTGCCCGGGTATCGCCACGCCAGCCGCCCTCGGCTGCAGCCTCCATTCTTCCCTGTAGAGGTGCCTGCCACTCCTGGATGGGGCACTGTGGTTGGCATCCCCCACCCCGACTCCTCTTGGGTTTATTTATTGCACGAACATAAGTTATTTTCACGTCCTCTTTGCCATTCCGCCTCTCGGCACAGCCAGGATGTTGGTACAGAGACGTACTTTATATTTTATATATGCAAATCACATTTTATCTTATACTTATATAGAGCAAAAAAAAAACTTATTTATTTTCTGACTTACAGTATGTGTCCTACCTGACTCCTCTGTATTTTGTAGACTTTACAAATAAAGCAAGTTTTGGTTTGTTTTTTTTTCCACAGCGGGAGTGTGTTTGGTCATTCTTGAACTTGGGACAGAGCCATGTCTGAGACCAGGTTTTCTATCTCCCTCTGGCTTTGCTGCAGGACATGCTCAAGAATGTGCCCAAAAAAGACGGGATGGGGGACAGCTCATGGCTTTTTAGGACAAAACCAGATTTACAGAAAAGGGCTAAAAAAGCACAAGTAATGCTGAATACCACCCCACAAAGCACTCGCTTTCAGGAGCAGTGCAGCTGTGCTGAATCAGCTTTTCCTGGGAAAGGTAGTGCTTTTCACTTCAAAAATTCCCTCCAGGCTGTCCTTGGATCAGGTGCAGGAGAGGCAGGTGCAGGGCATCTGTGCCCAAAAGCTTCCCTGTTGAGTGACCTTATCACCTTACCTGGGAACAGCAAGGAAAAAAGCAGTGAGCTGCCCACTCATGGGCAGGAGATGGGGAAGAAGTGTGGAAGGCACCTTATCGGGAGATGAAGCTAGACCTCCTCCCTGTGTGGAAAAGCCACCCTTCCTCAGAACTGAGCTGGAAGTGGTGAGCATGTTCCAAATTCCCAGGTGGGCCAGGTCCCCAGCAGGCTGCAACACTCAGGATGGTTTGGGGGTTTGACATTCCCATTCCCTCTGACACTGCAAATGGCCCCAGCCCCAAACAGTGCTCATGGAAGGAAATCCCAAAGCCATTGTTTGCTGGGGTCTCCTCCTTCCCACCAGCGTTTCAGTGAGCACCTAAGGAAGGCTTCATCTCTACTCCAGGTTTTTGATCATGGGTTCTACTCCTGCCTTGGGCCAGCAGTGGTGTCTCAGCCCAGGGCGCTGCAGTGATGCTTCTCTATCAGCTCCAACACCTGGAGCTTCCCTTCTGAGAAGAGGACAAGAGATCCTGACCCACCAAGCCTCAGTCCATGCAAGGAGGAAAAACTCAGAGAAGTCACCCAGACAGCACCACACAGAGGCAGCTTAAGTACAATCTATATTATCTCTATATTTTTTATTTGTCATCATATTTGCTCATTTCTGCGGAGTATAACGTCACAAAGACCAAAATAGAGAGCGGCTTGTCGCTGAGCTCACATCAGTTAAACACAATAGGTACAAAACTAGGTGACTCTGTCTTATTTATCATACTTTTTTTCAGTCATTTATATACAAAGAACTACTCTATATGGAAAAATAATAAACAAATCCCATGGGTATGTTACATAGTAAACAAAAAAGGAAGGAAGGAGAGCGGAAGCAGGTGAGGAGAGCAGCTCCAAGGTCTGCTCTTGGAACCAGCACATTTCCTGGGTCCTGGGCTACCTTGAGCAGACCAAAAAGACCATGGATGCCTTGGCCTTCTTGGTCTCAAGCTCTGGATCTCATATTTGTTCCTCCAACACAAAGTGGCTTCAGAGCCGGTGCTTGCTCTGGCACTTGCCGGACACAAGGAAGAGCAGGAAGCTCAGTGATGGATGATTTTGTGTGGTGTTAAAAAACATATATATTTATAAAATTATAAAGTAGGGCAGCTAGGTACTAGCTCACCAGGCTCCTCTGAAGGCATCTGGTGTAAAAGAATTATACTTGAAACCATTACACACAGGATGCTTTAAGAATATCCAGATCCTCTGCACAGTGCATATATATATATATATACATACACACACACACACATATATATATATATATATATATATATGTATGCAGGAGACATTTCAAAATAAGTTCTAAGACATGCATCTCTAAGCCTGGACCACCTTCATGCTCAATGGGGCAATCACACAGATTCCAGCCACCCAAATGCAACAAAGATTGGGGGCAGTCACCAAGTGATACTGGGACATCATCAAGGCCTGCAAATGCAAAGAAAGGGGAGTATGGGATGATGTCCCATGTCCCACTTTCCTAAGTGAGAGAAACATCGGTATCTCACATTAAAGGAATATTAATCAAAGCCACAGAAAACAGAAGTAAAGTCTGTTAAACCTTCAGCCCTGCTTTCCAGGCAGCTTATGCATGAGGAAATTTTACATCAAGCCCACACAAAGCCTGGCAGAATGCGTTTGCATGTCTAATTAAGCAGTCACAAACTTAGGAAAATTAATAACCAACAGCATGGCTTTGCAGGATGTGTGTGAATGGGGAAATCCAGCAGCAGAGAAGCTGCTGGATCCACTGACCCTCCCTCCAGCTCCCTCAACAGTACTGCTGCTCTCACCTGCTTCACTATCTCCCAGAAACATCAGTACAGGAGGAGGCACTATCCTTAAGCTTTTCCCTATCTAATGCTCACAGCAGGGAGTAAACCTGCCTCTCTTCAAGCCTTTTTGCCCAACTTGGGCAGAGGTGCTGAATAAATGAGGTGCTCCTCACTCACTGTTGCTTCTGAGACACTCAATGAAGAAGCAAATGGATCAAGAAACAAACGGACAGGAAAACTCCAGGCAGCAAACCAGACTCCAGTTCTCCTAGCAGGACAGCAAGGAGCAATCCAGAATCACACGGGTCTGCTCTCGGCAGGGGAGGCGTAAAGCAGGAGAGGAACGGAGAAACTACAGCTGAACACAGCAGCTTGCTCCAGTCTCAATTTTGCTTCCTGCTTGCAGGTAGGAGCATCTGAGCTGCAGCACTTGAGTGTGCCGCCTACTTTTCTCCTAGATAATTTTAAGCAAGCAAGAGGCATTTCCTGGTCCCTAGATAGATCTACAGAGGGATCACTTTTGTTTTGGCTCCACTAAGTACTCATGGGTTCATCCAAAACCCAACAGAAGCAAGGGGAAGCTTCTCCCACTTTCATGGATGCTGGTTCCACCCTTGATAGCACTGCAGGTGCACCAGAGCCTGTGAAATGTGCAGCAGCAGCAGCAGCAGCAATTGCTGCCTGAGAAAATGAAAGAGACAACTTTGACCAGCCAGGTCATGTCAGGTTTCAAGTCTGCTCCAGTCTGCCCCAGAACAGCTACAGAGATAAAAAACAAAGGAGTGTGCAATATTCCTTCCTGAATACTCCAGCCTAAGGGTAAAACTCCTGTAGCTCAGGGGAAGTCAGTGATTATGAGCATGGGGAGAGCTGCCTGTGAGAGATCAGGACCTGCTCTGGCACCTACCTCTACCAGGGGCAGATGTGATGCTGGGGGATAGGAAACAAGAAGAAAAACTGATTTTGTGTTTACATATCTTCCCTTCCCAAAGAGGAGTGAAGGGGCCAACGCTCTATAAACTTCCGCCACCTATCATAGCCAGTCCTCAGTCTTGTTAGCAGGAGAAAGATGCTCCAGGGAGGCTTCCTGCCACAGGAACGCCAGGGAGATGGGAAGCTTGGATACCTGGTGATTAAAAAATTCCACCCTTGTGAAAATATAATTCCATCCCCACTGAGCTTCAACAAGCTTTTGTAGCAACTTGAGATGCAGGGAGCCAAGGAACACGCAGAAAGCTTTGTCCTTTTGCCCTTTGCTCCCTCAATGACTCCAGGACTCACAACCAGGTGCTCAGGAGGGTAGGGACAGATGTTCCTTACTTAGCACTCAGGGCAATGGCTATTTAGAAAGACCAGTCTCTGGTGTGGTCCTCAGGAACGCTTATGGCTGCATCCCCATCCTATTTCCCAAGGATCACAGAGATGTTAGTACCAGGGAGCTGGAGAGAAAGAAAACTGTGCCTAAATCAACCATTCAGGAAAAGAAATAGAAAGCAGTCAGGTTGTTCTGTTAGAAAAAAACCAAAAACATTTTTGGCTACAACTCTAGGCTCCAGTCAGTCACACTCCACACCAAGCTGGGCAGGTGTGGGAAGCCAGAGCCCCAAACCCTGGAGCTTTCCTTGAATCAATTCAGTTTGATTGCTGCCATAAGGAATGGGCTCGAGCATGGAGGCCTGGCCATTCTGCCACCTCTGCATTGCTCATTGTGTCCGTACCCACAAAAGCTAATGGGAAGTGCTCACTTCTGCAATCTTTACTCTCGAGGAAGTGATATGACTTGTGTGTTTCTGCATTAATAAATTATTAAAAAAAAAAAAAAAAAAGAAGGAACATGACAGCCTGTGCTGGCAGTTTCCCCTCCTAGAATTCATCATCAGAGCTCAGCAAGAGGGTCTTCTCGTTGTCACGGGCACCGGAGCAGCTGTGGGAGCGCGAGATCACGTGGCTGCCGTTGCGCCAGGGGGGCCCGTGCTCCAGTGTCGACTGTTGGGTGTACTGCTGGTAGGCTGGAGAGAAGTTGTGGATCGCATCTTGGACAATGTCATGGGGATTCATGGTCTCCTTGAGGCTGCTGGAGATGCTCTTCATGGGAGCACAGCGACCTGTTTGGATAAGACAGGAAGGGACAAGTAAAGAACACTGCTGCCTTCCCCACAGCCCTTAATAGGAAGGTAAGGAGAACAGGGAACATGCAGTCCTAGATCCTGCACAAGGTGGGTTACAGACTTCCTTAAGCAGCTGCTGAGGAAATGCCACACAAATAGTGTTCAGCTTTATCAGTGGTGCTTCTAAACCCAAACACTGTGAGCCAAGTGAATCCACCACAGCACCAAATGGGGGACATACCATGAGAAAGGGTACACCCGCAGAGACATCCTCCACTGCACACTATTGGTGCTGGCCTAGGTGTGCAATGAATACAGTCAGGTGGGAGGTGCTCCTCTAAACACTTTCAGAAGACAAAAACTAAGTAAATTCTAAAATATAGGAGAAATGGCATTTGCCATTCCACTCACTGGAAATTAAGACTGCGAGGTGGTATCAAAATGCCCATGGGAAAGAGATCATACAAGTAAAAAGCAGCACGAAGTAAGGAAAGGAGGGAAACAGGCAGTACTAGAGGCAGAACTACCCCATGTGTCATGATGGTACCATGAAGAAAGCAGCAGATGGAGAATGTACCACCCAAGTGCTCAGCACAGAGGGAAGTGGTGTCTCCTAGGAGCTGCCATGTCTCATGGCCTCTAGGTTCCATTTCCAGTGTGGGCTTCTGGGGATGAGCTTCTGCTCAGTTCTGGGGATGAGCTCCCTAGAGTATCAA